ATACTTTTTATAAATTGGTAGAGCTTCTATATTACGCATTATATGTTCATAAATTTTCATTTCCCAAATACAATGAATCGTTCACTTTAGAACATAATTTCTCGACGTCTAGTTATCCACTTTGAACAAAATACCACCATTTGGTTTGCCTAAATTAGAAAAATCGGATGGCAGTATTTTCACTCAAATTGGATCATTAGACATCGTTATGTTCTACAGTAACCGATTCATATTTGTCGATCAATTTATGATGTACGTTTATATGTTGTGTCCCAAAACCCAAATCACAATCAGCCCAAATTAGAATAGGAATATGACCAGAGTTAGGGTAAGGTCAGGGTTAGTGCTGGGGATAGGCTATATTTGGTTTAGATTTTGATTTGGATATTCCAATTGTCAATTGGGGCAGATTGTGATTTGGGGCACAACATATATCTCGATTTCCAGTGATCCAATTTGAATAAAAATAATCAAGACGAATCGAATCACTGGAGATCGAGATAACGCGCGTCATAAATTGGCTGATTAATAAAATAACGATAACTGATTATACATGTACGTGAACATACAACACTCGATATAGAAGCTATAAAATGTATCAACGATCAGCATTTGTAATGTCCTTTGTGCTCGGAAAATTTTGGTACATTACAAATAATCTATGGAAAGTTAAGGGGGGGGACGTTACTTCTGAAGAGTACTATACATGTAAACAATAAAATTCACTATATCAGCGGAAAAGATTCTTTTTATTTAGGTTTGCCTCCGCCCATTTCGCAATATTTTTTTATGCCTCGAATTCGAGTAGATATCCAGAGTTTTTTGATAAAGATTTTGGGTGAGTTTATTTTTCGGGTGCCGATCACAAACGTCATCGTCATCAAATTATTTTGGCAATATTATTCGGTATAGTAGGTGCACTAGCATTAGTATTTATATTATCATCATGTAAAAAAAAGAGCCAATATGTACGTAATACTAATATAACTGACCCTGGCTTCAAGATGAATTAAAAATTTAATACAATATTACGTTTGTGAGTATAACATTATGTGTTGATAAGAAATTTGAAAAATATTTCGCAAGATAGATCCTATTATTTAAAAAGAATAAAACAAAAAAGCAGTGACAGATTTTGATATAAAATATACGTACGTAATTAGTTTTTTTTTTAGAATATTATGTTATTGAAAAATCAATGCATGATATACAGTCAATGTTCGATTTAACGGCTATGCGATTTAATGAAATCGCGCTCAATTCAGTGATATTCTATTGATTTAATTTAGCATTTTATATCAGTATCATGAAATTTGATTACCGATTCATTGGTAATACAAATCGACATCGCGTGATTTAATTATCGTTAACTCGCGATTTCATTAAATTGCATAGTCGTTAAATCGACCTTTGACTATATCGGTATCTTGAGATTTGAATCGGTAAATAGCTTGAACGCCGTTTGACATGTTAAAAATTTATTAAGAACCAGCACTGGTAACATTATTTCAAATTTTTTGTTTTGTTAAGTGATATACAGTATATAATTTCTAATACAATACTTTAAAGTTGATATTTGATTAATTACGTAAAATAATAATTATTATCGCTATGGTGCATAACATCTAAAGTCATCAAAGGTTTGTATTTATAAAATGTAAAAAATTCTCACCTAATTCACGAATATGCTCAGAAAGGGCCTATTCCATCATATTTACAGATTAAATTTTGTATTTACTTTTAGATATTATTCACCATAGACATTTTATTATTATTTGTTATATTTACAGTGGCAATTAAAGAAATGCAACAGCATCAAAATTTATTAATAAAATATAGTAAAATGCAGGTTTGTTCTATATAAAAGTTTCCAACTTTGTATCAAAACATATATTTTGAGAAAGTTTTTTTAATTGGAAAGTAAATTGAGTAGTTTTTTATATAAATATTTATCAATTTTCTTTACAATTAGAAAAACTTTCTCAGATTGGATCTGAGATAAAATGAAAGATATTGATTATAAAATTAGAACTTTTATATATAGAAAACACTATCTTTTACTCTAAGTAAATATTGTATTTCTTTTAATTATTGTTGTAACATAAATTCTTTTCTAATTTATATCCAATTTAATTTAATTTAATTTAATTTAATTTTAAATACAGTAAATAGACAATTTTTCGGAATATGAAAAATATACAAAAATTATGTATGAAATTTTAATCAATTTTTATAAAAAGTTATAGATATAACTTTATAATTAATAAAAAATTTATACTTGTGAAAAGGATTTTTAAAATCTAATTAAAAATATTTATAATAAATTTTAATTTTGGTAATATGTCAAAATTTGTTCATTTATATTACTATTGAAACTCATAAAATTGAATTATAAATTTTGAAATAAAATTTAAAAAAATATATATTCTTAGTTTTATTTTAATATAAAAACAAAAATATTGCTAGTATGTTTTACTATTTTTTTTTTGGATTTTGATAATTTTTAGATATGTAAAGTTATTTTGGTATTTTATAATAAAAAATTCAAATTTAATAAATTTAAATTATAAAATTTGTTTAATAATCACCTTTACAGTCAGAAATATTTTTTTGATATTCAATTAAAAATATATGTTAATACAGATACTTAGTTTTGTTTTGATATAAAAACAAATTTTAGAAATAAAAATAAAAATTTATTTTAAAGATAAAATTTCAATTTTTATTATGTTTACTATATTTTTTGGACTTCTGTAATTTATTGTAGGGAATGTAATAAAACTATTTAATAGTTATTGAATCTATTATTTAATATTGCTAATTAATTATTAATTTATAATATTTTAATAAAATTCTAATAAAATTCTGTTATTTAATTCAAATAAAAAATTTTATTGTATTACGAAATATAAAAAAATTAATTGTAATATGATAATTTTTGTATAAAAAACATTTAAAAATACAAAGAAGAGTTATATTAATAAATAATCATTAATAAATATTTTAGAATTTAGAAATATATAATTTATTAATATTAATTACTACTCGAAATTTATTAGAATGTATTATAAATATTTCAGAGTTAGAAATAAATATACAAAATGATAAATTTTGAAAAATTGTATTAAAAATTTTTGCTTTATATATAAAGGATTATACAAATATATAAATATAATTCTTGACTTATAAAATAAATAATATATTTCAAAAACATTTTCAAGTAATATAATAATTATTAAAAGTTATTATAATTTCTAATTTATAATGTATTTTGATACAAATATTAGATTTGACTCTTACAAAATGCACTTTACATTTAATAATTCATTAAGCTATATTTAATTAAATATGTTTATTGTATGAGTATATACATCATATAGTGTTAGAATTGTAATAAGTTAAAAAGCTTCATTTATTTTAAGATATTCAAATAATTAAAATAGTAGACAGTAGAAAAAAAACTTGAAAGTTTACACATTCAGCAACATTAAAGGACTCAGAACAGTGCCAGGAAAAGCTATATTTGACTCTATTAGTAAATTCAATTTTCACTGCCACTTTTTTTTTAGAATGTTACATATCAAATTTAAATATGACATGATTTCGATGGTCAGTACCGAAAATTCAAATATGACATATCAAACAGAAAGTTATTTCAAAGTTTACATACGATATCCCGTACTTGCCCATAAATCACATTTAATTTTTATTCATTGATTTTGTTTCTATCCAAGATACATGTATACGTACGTAACGATGACATTGGCCAAAATTAATGCGATCGACAAAAATTGTAACCTTTCGAATCGGAACCGGACATGCTAATTAAAACATGGTGCATTTAATTATGTCCAATTGACAATACTGGTAAATTTGATTTATTGAGACAGGTTTGCTATAGTTATTCCTGGAACCAACTGTTCTGGAACCAATTTCAATTTCTTTTGAGTTTGACCGTAGTGATTTTCTCAGATTTACATTCTCAGATTTACATTCATCATTTAAATCACATACGCGTGTACATTATGCACTCCTTATAAAACTCATTAATTCTTATCGATTTGATAAATAAAAGTAAAAGAAAACGTATATATGGTCATAATACATGTAGAACATTTACGTATTTTAATTTATGTGGTTTTAAGTGTCTATTTTTCTTGGCAAATCAGATAATGCAGTGTTTATTGTGATAGACGAGTTCATTCCACAAATTCCTTACCCGGTTTCATATATGCATGTGTTTAATACTCAATCATCACTTCATATCGGTAGTGATTAATACATGCATATATGAAATTTTGATGATTATAAAAATAGGGGTGCATTATTTATATTCTAGACATCGATATGTATTTTGCAGAGATACGTATTTTGCAGAGGAACGAATAAATGGGAGAGTAAACCAAAATTTCGATGTTTTCTGACTAAAATTAGAAAAATTTTAGTATGGAGGATTAGATAAAATCTAGGTTTTATTATATTGAAATAAATCTAGCAAAAACCCATTTTTTGCTGCCAAGAATAAATCGATAAATTTATTTAGCTTGACCATGCAATTACTCCCATTTCATTAGAGTTTATTAACATCTAGTGATCAAACGATCATAGTTCAAGGGATACAAAAGGAAAATCGCATGCCCCGAGCAAAGCTAATACATGTACAATATATGGTTAGAATGGATAAAATCTAAAATCGAAAACAGCATAAATAATTACTAAAGTCATTTCAACCGAACTTTAATTTGCTTTATGCTAACAGCCGATTCGTTTAGCAAAATAAGTTGTTTATTAATACATATTAGAATAAGATATGCTTTTAATATATTTAATATATTTAATATAGTGTTAATGAACCAATGATGATATGTTAATATTGTAATAATGACTATAACGATAATGATTTATACAAGCTAAATTAATATTGAGAATCATGACAATAAATAATAAGAATTATAAAAACAAAAATATTAAGAATTATAAATATAACTATGTAAACTTTATTACAATTCGCTTTGTGAATTTGAAACCTCCCAAAGAGCCAATAATATCGAGGCTTTAATTATCCTCGGCACACAGTATAACTGTTTTGTTATCCATAGATATGGTTGTTTAGTATAGAAGTACGCCTCATCGGTCATAGATATATCGAAAGTTTTCAATAAAGAGGCACGACCTTTTTCGATCGCATCTTGAATTTGGTTATCATCTTGCCAATGGTCAGCTGCAGCGTTTAATAATCTCAACGCGTAACTTGTCTCTTCCATATTACCAATAGCATCAGCTGATGATTGACCCCAACTTCCATCTGAATGTTGCACCGATAATAGAACGTCTATTGATTTACGACAATAGTCAAGTAGATTTTTATTTGTTTGAATGTCTGATGATTGCAAAATGTCAGGATATTTTTGCAGACTTAGCAACAGTTGAATCGATTTCATGGTGGTATACCATGGGCTCAAATTCCATTTATCAAGCCAAACATGAGTTTCATTTCGTTTTGAGAAAATAAAGTTAATTGTTGAGCAAATAACCTCATCAAGATTCACCTTTTCAACCGAATTATTGCTATTTTTGGCTTCGACGATTAACGGGTATCGTGATTGCTTTTTTGCGTTATCACGAACACTCAGCATGAAAGTGGTAGCATGTACGTTGCAACTGACCGAAAGTGTACGTTCCCGAGGTGTACGTTCCCGAGCAAAACTTGAAAAGTATTTCCCATTCCAAAATGTATCCAACATCGCTTTAAGGTTAAAATCAATCGGATAACTAGGGTCAAATTGTGTAATCAAATAATTAGCCACCGCAGTATCATCAACATCTGCTGGAACGTGGTTGTCCCAGCTGGCCCATCGCATCGTGCCTTTTTGATCCACGAGCAATTCTTTTATATATTCAACAAAACATCGTAGATTTGTTGAAAGTTTCAAGAGTGGATATTCTGAATTAGCACCTGGCTGATGGTTAACGCTTAACATCAATTCTCCGACACAATGTAACACCCAACACATTTCGAATAATCCAAGGTCGCTTACTGTTGGCACGTATCCGGATACTCGTGCGTATTCTGGACACCGTAAAATGATCCTTCGTAAGAATTCGTGTGCTTTCTCGTCCCATTTTGGTGCCTCAACTAAGACTGCGGCCGTTGCTGCTGCGGATGAACCATAACTCCCATTTATCGCTTGGAATCCGGGATTTTGAAGACGGGAAAAATCAATTCTTCCAACAAATGCTTCAATGGTATGTGTAAGTGTGAGCGGTTGACCCTTTGCAGCTAATTTGAAGATTACTTCGAGTGGTACTAAGCTCATTTTACGTTTGTTTTCACTAAGCAGACGCTCTTTATCTGGGAAATCGAAATAAACTGGAGGATCGAGTTTTTCCAGTTGTGACATAAGGAATGGAACCGTAAGTTCGAACCCTGTCATATCAACATCATTAATATCCCATTCATTTAACGTGTTACGCAGAAAAAAGACTCCTTTTTCAAATACACCATTAAAATGCTCCTGTTTTTAGTAGAAAAAAGAAGAATTAGTGGCTTATATATTTTGGCCAAATGCGAACACATAAATCAATGCTTTTATTACCAAGGTGAAGCCTAATTCTCGTAGTTTTTCTTCAAAATACGAACCGGCACGATTTTTAAACATGCTCAAAGCACATAAAGCTGAAAGACCAGCAGTAATGCTGCCAGCTCCGGTACGTGCCCAACTGCCATTCTCGTCCTGAGTACTTAATAACCAATCAAAGCACTCGGGGAAAGCAAGTTTGAAATCTTTTGGTTGCTTGGTTTCTTTATAGAGGGGTACTGGGACCATTGCTACCCAAGCTGTGTCGTATGGCGACATTGACATATCTGAGAAACCAACCCACGTTGGATCATTTCCAGCATCGAATGAATGTTTTGCCGATTCTTTTGGATCGGTAAAAAAATCTTTGAAAATATCACTGCCGATTTTGGAGAGGAGTTCATTTGTTCGTTGAATGACTTTGAGTGATACTTCTGAATAAGTTTTTTTCTCGATTGATTCTTTGCTGTGAGCATGCACGTCCGGTTTTTGAAATTTTCTTTTTATGGTTTGATAAATCCCTTTAAAATAGTTTGGTTTATTTCTTTTCTTTTGATCATTGTTACCTGCAACAGTAGTAGCTACAGACATGCTTGTTAATATATAACGATGTATGCTAGCAAGTAATAGATATTGAAGCTTTTAAGCAAGGTTAGAGTATTTACAGTTATAAGTAAGATTTTTTTTTCTGAAATCATACGAGAAGAATCGTTGGATTTATACTGAATATATATGAGCTTACAAAGTATCGACGCCGCGATGCAAGATTTCTCACAACATCTCCTTTTCGAATATTCTAAAATCTAATATTGCTATGAAAAACTTTAATTTTGTTTTGTTTCGGAGCGAATAAAGCAAATTGTTACCTGGTTAGTATAATCCGAAGATAGCACAATCGGAACATTCTCTTTGTCTGGTGTTAATGATGCTGCCGCACAATCATACTAAATTCTTCACGTCTTTCAAAAAGCGCCGAGTTTGTAATTCATACGTGTTGCAAACGTTTGACTTGATTTCTCGGTAACCATACAACTTTCCGTGTGTGAAGTAAATAAAGTTCAAGAAAAAAGATCATATATAGTATTTACTTAACATGTAAATTCCGGAATCTTATTTCTATTTAACTTTGTACCAATACAAATGCAGGACAACAAATCTTCTACATGTACAATCCCCCCTTTCCAGCTATATGTTAGAACAAAACAATTTCCCGCGATTGAAACTCTATTTTGCCGGTCAGACAGTAAAATGAATTTTTTTTTCATTTTACATGTACTTTGAAACTCATACATATACCCCTTTAATAAGCAAGATAATCAGCAAACATACCAGCAGTTTAATTACAGGACGCTTGCATAACGATAATGTGTGAATGTCATCAGTGACCATACAAAAATCCGGATTTACTACCGCGCATGAATGGGACCCAGAAGTAAAATAGTAAATGACGAAAGTAAGGGTGAAGAATAACACGATAATAGTTAAAACAAGTCCGTCCGGATATACGCGCACGTTGGTAACACGCGGAATTTTGAAATTTTATTACTATAGGATTATAGCTTACAATCAATCAAAAAAATACATCTAACGTGAAAAAAAATCTAATGTGGAATACTTCGAATGTGGAAATACCTAAAATCACGTCTAATGTGGAAATACTGTACCTAAAAACACGTCTAATGAGGAAATATGTCCGTGCAAATCCAAAAACATTGTACACGATTACGAAAATCTGATTAATGACTATAAAAAACTCAATAAAATTTTTTGAATACTTTTAGATTTTTGCGTTTCGACAAGAGGTTTTAAAGTTTAACATCAAATAACACCGTCAATCTTGTTGATATTCGTATACAAAGAACTTTTAAGGTATTAAATGACGATAGTACCCAGTTCTTATTACTGAATATAGTGAATCTCCCGATCCTCGGGATAGAACATTTTGTGATTACGGGATGTGTCTATGAAATTTACTTCCATAGTCACTTGTGAAAGAAAAATACTCATATATAAAAAAAACCTTATCTAGATCTTTTCAAAATTCTGAAGAACAAGCATCTCGATGTCAATGCGTTCCGAATCTTTGATTTATATTTTGGTCCTTGTGAATTTAGATCAGAAAATTGTAACTAATAATTCACGTTAGCGTTATCCAACCATTATCGTGCACTACGTATAGACAACAAGTCATCACGTGATGAAACACTACAATTATGATCGTGAGCTATACGTATGTGAATAACCATCACACGCGAACACATCTTTATGTATCAATATCCCATCATTCATCGATAATCATAAAATGTATAATATATGGCTTAAATATTTTCTGATTATTCAGATACAGTCAATTCGTTAAACCAAAGCACTAATAAATTCGAAGTTAATTAGGAAACCGCTTTCTAAAAATTAGTTTAATAATATAAAGTAAATTAATAAACTTTAATACCAACAAAATTATCTATACAAAATATGTAAATTATATTTAAAAATATATACATGTATCAAGTACATGTAAATACCAACAAAAGTTATATACAAAAAATATGAGAAATTATATTCAAAATTTAATTATTGACATACTAGAAAAAATCATACAAATTCAATAGTTAAACTAATTAAATATTGATTGTTATACACAGATTTGTAAAACAAATATAATAATTTCCATTAAATGATTATGAGTTTCTAATAATATTAGCTAGTTATTTTTATAAAAAAAACTTTATTGTCATTCAGAACTGATTATATATTATAAGCAAAAATGAACTTAAAAAAATATACAGAGGATTCTTTCAACCATGTAATTAATGATAAATAAATAATTATCTAAATTAATAATGTGATTTGATTTGATAATAATTTTTCATATGCAAAACTTAATAATAACATGACTGTATAACTTATTATTTTAACTGAATTAATTATATAATAAAAACAATTCTTTATTTAATTTTAAAAATTATAATTTGAATGCAAGAACTTTCAAAATAAACAAGTATTCATTTTAAACCTCGAAACCTTTGAAAATAATTGACAACAGATTATTTATGAAACTGAGTGATTTAAATCAAAATTTTAAATTAGTAAATTTCTCACTTGTTAAAATTTAGAGGCTGCTGAGTGGATTGTTAATAATTTATCTTTAATTTAATAGAAATATTAGAATTTTATTATCAAATACAATTATTATTGAGAATTAATTTTTATGCATTTTTAAATTTGTTATTTATATTAAATAAATTTAAATTATAAAAATCATCAAGTAATTGATTTTATATTTTATCAATAAACATTAATAAACATAATATATAATAATACTTAATTATTTATATTTTTAAGGATGAGATTTTAGAATAGTAATAGTAATAAATACTCTAATTGCAAAGAAAAATTTCAAATATGTGATTATAATATGAATAATATATAGCAAAAAATTATTTTTTGTGTAATAATACATGTACTTAATAAATAATTATATATAAAAAACAGTGAAATTATATAAATTTTAACATGCAAATATTTATTTGATCACAATTATTTTTGTTTAGAACATACAATAAAAAAACACTTAGTACGTAGTCTGTAATTTGAATTTGTTTCAACAAAAAGATTAATTTAATTAAACACTAAATAATAAACAAAAATGACACAATTTTCTATATTTTTATTATATACCTTCACATTTTTTAATACAATTAACGAAACGACAGCGAGTAAATATTTATGTATAAAATAAATAATAATAAAGATGTGTGTCTCACATGTAGCTCGTAAATGTATACGCACAAAAGCTACGTATTCATTTATAATTTTTTTTGTTTTACCTAATTATTTATTATTAAAATTACATCCTACATCTATATTATAAATTTTTCTAACTCTTTATAGAACTTACTCAAAATGAGTCATTTATTGCAATTTTGATTCATAATCGAAAATTTGAATTTCAGAAAAGATATCTCGTCAATTCAACTTTTATTTGGTCATTCAATTTTTTTGTAATATAAAATGCAGTTTACAACAATATTTTGGAAGATGATGAATTGATTCTTTAGCAAAATTATTGGTTTTTAATCTGAATTTATTAGATTATTAGTTTATATTAAAAATTTTAAATGAGTTCTAGGTAAATTCTGTGTATTTACATGTGATATTAAGTACGATCACAAAAAAAAGTGTAAAAGTAACTCCCTGTTAAACGAAGCACTAAGCAAAACTTTGATAAGCCAAAGTTGGTTCCAGGAACAGTAATAATAACCTTTCTGGATAACAAAAGTTGGTCCAGGAACAGTTATAGCAAACCCGTCTTGATAAACCGGACGTACTAAATCTTGATAAACCGAATTTTTTTGTTATCAAATTTGAGCACCAATAATACATGTGTGTTGACATGCACATACCGATACTGTACATTAGAAATTAATTACGTACATAAATGGAAAAACCTAACGCTAAGTGGTGCTTACACAACAGTAATGGTAACGATAACAAGCAATCAACGGAAAAAACAAATTAACGAAAAAACAAATTAACGGAAAAACTATTCAATTAAAAATAATCAATGTTATAAATCCTCCTTCGGAGAAAATTTAAACCTTAATTTAGTCCGATTTCTTTAATATATAAACGCATACGTGTACTTAATTTAAATAAAATCGGCTGTTTAAGTACAATTTAGTAAAAACTTTTCGGGGGATATATTCCCGATTGTTTACAAATTCTCTTAGTTTCACATTCTGATTTTTGCGCATATCGATATATTGTCGGTGCCGGATTAGGAATCAATATATTAACAAACAAACAAAACAGCACACGGTATCAGACAACCACAACCCCAACCCCAACACATCATAACCTGACAAACGAAATCCCGACAGTTCAATATCTCGACATCTAATATTATTATCGTTATTATCGATTACTCTGATTGACTTCTGTATTAAAATTTTGCATAAAAATGATAGACGTGCGTAAAATTGGGATTTCGGAATATGGAGCTGTCGGATATTGGTATTTCGGAATGTTGGACTGTCGAGATATTGGGGATTTCGGGATGTTGGATTTTCGGGATTTCGTTTGTCGGGTTATGGTGTGTTGGGCTTGTGGTTTTCGGAATGTCATATCGGAACCGTTGATATCTGCATAATAGCCTTCTTTTAAATGCTATAGATAAACGTCTATTTCCAAAGTGTAAAAAATGAGCACACAATTGTATTTTTCTCATAAATATTGGCAAAAGTAGCAAATCATTTTCAAATTTAACGGTGGTTGGTAAATAAAAGCATTTGGATTTTTAAGTCAACATACGCTATCATGGTTCGAACTCAAAAGTTAATAATTCGATCGATTTGTGCAAAGCGATTTATTTTATTATCTCAATTTGAAATTTACATCAAGTATTTACATGATTGCTTGCGATAAGAATGGAACATTTGTGCGTAATATTTACATAGTTTTTACTGACATGTATAGCAACCTGGCTAGTTCTGTGCAATGGTAAAGTAACTCGAAGTACCAAAGGTAGATAGATCATCAGCAACAGATACTAGCACGTAAAATACACCATTCTTGGGATAATCATTAGTGATTTCAAATTGCTTCTGCGCCGCTGTATATTTTACTTGACCAAGCGACAAAATGAGTTTATCATTATCTGGTAAAGATTGATATGTTTCGACGATGACAGATTTATCCTGAGGGAGCTCAGGGTCATCGCTTCTCCAGGTGGCCGCTTGGATCGATCCATTTACCCATGGACCAGGACCGGGTGATGTTACGTGTATTTTACCAGAGTTTGGTTCTCGTTTCGCCGCAAAAATAACCATGGTAAAGGTCGTTAGCGTAAAAAGAACAATTGTAAGAAGGTTGAAGAATTTCATTTTTAGTGGGTTTGTGTGATTTTTTAGGCGTAAGAAATGTCGTTATGTTTTTTGTTTATTTGTTTTGTTTTTTTTTTAAGGACTTTTTTGCAAAGTGAAGAAACCAAAATTGGACGAGGCGTACGTTCTTTTATAGAGTTTTTTTTCACATTTCTGTTTAATAGCCAACAAATTGAAATTATTCTTTATTATTTTCTAATCACTATAAATTCTAATAACTCGTGGGTTTTCCTTTATTATTTTCTAATCACTATAAAATCTAATAACTCGCGGGTTTTCATTTATTATTTTTCTAATCACTATAAGGTCTAATTAGTCGCAGGTTTTTCTTGATGATTTAAAGAAACTATTACTTTCATCTAAATCAGCGTCCCATAAAAATTTAATACGAATAATTCTTAGATTCCCGGATCAATGATAATTTATCGTTATCGATCACGTAACTCGTGTGTTAATGTTGAAGATTATCGCGATCATTATGCTTAAAATAATTGTCCATATTCTAATTTCAATCATTTGTTTCAACAACTGGGCAGAACCAAACAAATGACTTGTGAAATTACAAGATTAACGTTTGACTCTTTGAATTATAAACTAACCAGATTCATTAGCATAAGCATAATCAGTATTTTTTAAAGGCGTACATGGATTTTTTTATAGGTTTGCTGTGCTTCTGAAATGATCTTGTTCCAAAAAATTTCTTCACAACTACAGTAGTTTGTAGATGGCTAAATTAAATTATTCATCTTTATATCTATGTAAAGAAACTTTAGAGCCACCATTATTGTTAGTGATCAGATTTAATAAAAACCAATACATAATAAACCTGGATAAACTGAAACCATTCAAAAAACCTTTGTAAGCTGATTGTTACAGAAAAATCCAAGAATTATGTGGTTTGTAGGATTACAGTCTTTAAAAAGCAGCTCAAAAATTTATTTTGATCGATATTTTTTCAAATCTTAGTTAATATGAATTAGTTTCAGAATTCACATCAATTCGGAATTTATATTTAGAATTCAAAAATAACATACGTTGTTTCAGAATCCATGATTGACGTATTTTCTCATAAATCTTGAATTGATGTGAATTTAGAAACATTCTAATAAAAAATTATAATTATATGATTTGTAGCTTAAATAGCCTGTAAATTTAGTAAATATTGGAAATAATTTAATAATAGATTTTTGTATTTCGTAATTCATGTAATGTCCATTTGTAAAATAGATAACACAAGTCGTCAACTCAGCATTCAAACCTAACATACAGAAAAATGAAGATACAGCGTTAAAATGTCAGGAAAGTGATTTTACATAAAAAACTCTAACACTTATCTACGAGCTTACTTATTTGCACTAGAAATATAATAAATACACGCAATCAGGGTGAGAGTTAGCGTTAGAGTCATGATTAATATGTCAAATCACCTTTTTGATATTCAACTATGTATGTAGTAGATCCAGACTCGTGACCTCAACCAATCATCTGAACCGACCTAACTGGAACAATCAACAAACTACATGTACGTATATGTAATATTTGTTGGTGATCATGATAATCAGATCATGGTGAAAATTTGGCCAGAGTTATGCAGATTATTGCGGATCTTTTAGCCAAAATTTCAATTTTGGCCAAAAAATTCATGGAGATACGTATTGACATTTTTGTAAAATTTATGATATATATCAATATATATAACAAATAACCGTTATAACGATAACCTTCCTGATCCTAACCATTAACCTCTAACCCTAGTAAAATTTTTATTTATATTATTTTACAATAGATATTGTAAAAAATCGCTCCTTTAATCACCACAATATTTGTGGTTTTAGGACTAGTCCAAAATTCTCCAAAGTTCAATTACAAAAGTCCAAAACCCAAATACCCACCCATGGCAAAAAAAGGTCGGATCACGTGCTGCTGGTGGGACACAAATCAATAAAAATTCGTAAATTATTAATCAGCCCGGCAAAACAATTCCGACACAAGAACAGATGCATGCCTAAATCCAGCTTGATACACTAAATGAGTCGGAAAGACAATTTTACATATAAACTTGACTCCAGCTCTAGCCCTAACTCTAATCCTAACCTTTAACAATAACTTATTACCGTACATACACAAATATCACGTGAACCGATCTAAAGTCATCAAACGTTTGTATTTTATAAAATGTTTAAACTTCTCAACTAAGAAGTAATTCAAAATTTAATCAGTAAATATGGTAGAAAAAGGCTTATTCTACCATATTTACGGATTAAATTTGAATTTACTTCTTAGTTGAGAAGTTTAAACATTTTATAAAATACGTTTGATGACTTTAGATGGTATGCACCGTAGGGCAGTGTTGTCATTGGACATGGACATGGACATTGGACTGGACTGGACTGGACAGTCCAGTCCAATGTCCAAAGAAAAATCATGTCCAAGATAATATTATATGTCCAAGAATATCCAATAAAAATCATGAAATTTTATTAAAAACCAAAATGGTATTTGATTACAAATTAAAATGGTAATACTAATTCATCAACATTAAAAAGAGATGCTAATTCCCATTTTGCATATTTATCAACTGCAGGATGAGTAATATCTTCTATAAAAATTTCTTCTTCCTCTCTGTCTTCTCTTCTGAATTGTTGATTTTCTTCTTCTAGCATATCTGCCCATTCTTGCAAATAGTTATCAAAATTTTCCTCAAAATTTGTCGATTCATCATCTAATTCATCATCTAATCCATCATCCAAATATTCATCCATTGTAGTTTCAGAAGAATCTTGTTCTTGTGCAATATTTGAAGTAGATATTTCTGTTTGAGATTCTGTAGATGTAGATTGTTGTTCAGAGATATCATTGTGTATATTTTGATTTATTGTTAAATTAGATTGAAGCCGGTAATTATATATAATATCTGCACGCAATTTGCTCATTTGTAAAGCTTTAACATTCTATATTAATGTACATGTATATAAATATTAATTTGAAATATCATGTAATTCTCAAAGTTATCATATACTGATACATGTATAATTAAACTTACCGTTAATCGATTACGACGATTTGTATGTAAAAATCCCATGCAACTCCAAAGTCGTTCTACAGCGGCTGCATTTGTACATATTCCAAAAATCTGATTTGCTACCAAACCTAGTTCTTTTGTTGATGCACTTGCAAAACACCAATAACGATAAATATCATCCGAAAATTGATTCCATGTAATTTCATCAAAAGGATATTGTCTTTGACGAAAATCATCAAATTCTTTCAAAATATGTTTTGCTTCCTTCCCAAACCATGCTTTATAGTAATATGCTAGCCATGGACCGAAATTGGTATAGTTAATATTTCTGTTAAATAGCTCCATACGATAATTAGGGTGTAAAAGACAGGCAAGAATCAATAAAGGTTGTTCCCAATTATGTCATCGGCGTTCTAATCATGATATAAGTTGATTCCTAAGTTGCTCATCATCATAATTTTTCCAAACTTGAACAAGATAACCCAAACTTGTAATAACTTGATGTAATCGTGCTTTGTCAGATTGTAAGATATTCAAAATAGTGCAATAAGGCCAGAGGATATGAAGCAGATGATAGATATTGGTCCAGAAATTTGTGGAGCTGATAATTTCATATATTTCACGTTTTAATTTTGGTTCTTCTCCAGCACATCGATGAGTTTCTCCAATAGGCAGTTCGAACTTAATCCCAAGAATCTGTTACTGAAATAAATAGTAAAATACCAAAGGATAACGCCAAAATATGACAGCAAAATTGATAGCAGAACATCACGAAATTTTAAACCAGGTTGGCAATCGATTATCAACTGAGAATCGATTACCATCGATTAGAAAAAATCG